CTGAGTCTGATTTTAAAGTGATCAATAGACATTTCTCAACAGATGACACACGAATGATCAACAGATATATGAAGAAGGCTCAATTTTACTAATTATCAGAGAAATACAAATAAAACCACAGAGAGCTATCACCTCATTCCAGTTACAATTGTTATCATCAAAGAGAGAAAAGATAGGGGCCGGCGCCGTGGCTCACTTGGTTAATCCTCCGCCTGCGGCGCCAGCATCCCATATGGGCGCTGGGTTCTAGTCCCGGTTGCTCCTCTTCCAGTCCAGCTCTCTGCTGTGGCTCAGGAAGGCAGTGGAGGATGGCCCAGGTGCTTGGGCCCCTGCACCCACATGGGAGACCAGGAGGAAGCACCTGGCTCCTGGCTTTGGATCGGCATATCTCCGGCCATAGAGGCCATCTGAGGGGTGAACCAACAGAAGGAAGACCTTTCTCTCTGTCTCTCTGTCTCTCTCTCTCTCTGTCAAATAAAAAAAAAAAAAAGAATTCTAATTTCTCATAGAAGAGATCATTAATTAATCAATTTATTAAAAAACTTTAAAAAAGAGGAAAGATAACAAGCACTGGTGGGGATGTGGAGAAAAAGAGAAGACTTGCACACTGTTGATGAGAGTGTAAATTAGAACAGCCATTATGGAAACAGTATGAAGGTTCCTCAAGAAACTACTTACCATATGATCCAGCAATCCCTCTATGTCATGGATAACTGAGGGGACAGAAATCAGTAAGCTGAAGAGACATCTGCATTGACATTATTGCAGCATTCACGATTCCCAAGAGCCTAGATATGGAATCAACTCAGTTGTCCACTGACAGATGAATGAATAAAGAAAATGTGGCACATGGTCAATACGCCAAATTTAATACTAAATATTATTTAGTCATAAAAAAGAATGAAATTGTATGATTTGCAGTAGCATGAATAGAAATTGAAGACATTATGTTAAGTGAAATAGGTCAGGTGCAAAAAGACAAAGACCACATGATCTCACTCTCCCATGGAATCTAAAAAAGTGATCTCATAGGACAGAGTCAAATGGCGGATAGTTAGAGGGGAGAAGGGGCTGGGGAAAGGCTGATCAGTGAGTGCTAAGCTACGTTTAGAAGAAGTGAGTTCTGGTGTTCTCCTATACAGCAGAGTGCCTACAGGTAACAATAATGCACTATATATTTCCCGAAAAACTGGAAGAAATGATTTTGAATATTTTGATTTTGAATATTTTTTACTTCAAAGAAATGATAAATGTTTGAGGAGACAGATATTAGTCTACCCTAATTTGAATACTCTACAATGAATACATTTATCAACACATGACGATAAATGTCTCATTTTTTCAACTTAATTTTTTATTTATTTTTTGAGGTAACATCTTTAATTTACATTATAGTCAAAGGCTTAATGACTCTACTAAATAAAGAGTTTAACAAATAAAGAGTCAAAAGGAAAATAGGCAGGGCTATAAACAACAATCAAAAGAAAAGATGGTCAACTTCACTAATGTAAAGTAAATTTTGAAACAGCTTTGATGTGCTATTTTTTAACTAGGTTTTATATGTTCTAATTTATTGATGGTTACCTTTATGCTTTCTCTTCTTAAACATTGTTTTTAATTTATCATCTCATTTCTAGTTTTTATAGTGATTTCATTTATTCACAGAAAATCTTTGATCCACCTGGGATTCTTTGTGATAAAGAATAGGACAGGAATTCAGTTGTTGGTGTGAGGCCAGAAGTGGGGAGGGGGGATGGAGAGATAGTATACAAACATGTCTGCCTCTGTGTGTGTATGTGTGTGTGTGTGTGTGTGTGTACACCATCATACAGCTCCCCAGTGTCCTTCCCTACTCCAATTTTCAAAGATGAGATTGTGTCACCATAATTGCTAAAGAATCACTTAACAAGTTAGCTCAACCATTACTGGACAGAAAGCAAGGCCAGAGGATGGTGGGCTACAAAGGAGGGACCCAGGGAAGATCTGCCCAATCCTGATCTCAGGCACCTGGGGCTGGGCAGGATTGGACAGTCTCAGAAACCTTAGGTTCGAGAAATTTTTTCAAAGGAAACATAACAGAAATAGATGGGAAGGGCTTAAAACAGATCTGCTATGCACCTGCACCTACTTAGCGGGTGCTTCTCAAACTACCTGTGGGGGAGATGAGGCGTGATTGGGGTTTTTGTCTGTTCATTTGTTTTTAGTTTCAGTCCATCATTAACTGATACTTCTATGCAATACAGTACAAATGATAGAAAAATTAATTAAATAAAAACAAAGGCCAGCAGGCCGGCGCTGCGGTTCAATAGGCTAATCCTCCGCCTAGCGGCGCTGACACACTGGGTTCTAGTCCCGGTTGGGGCACCGGATTCTGTCCCGGTTGCCCCTCTTCCAGGCCAGCTCTCTGCTATGGCCCGGGGGGTGCAGTGGAGGATGGCCCAAGTGTTTGGGCCCTGCACCCTGTGGGAGACCAGGAGAAGCACCTGGCTCCTGGCTCCTGCCTTCGGATAGGCGCGGTGCGCCGGCTGCAGCACTCTGGCCGCGGCGGCCATTGGAGGGTGAACCAACGGCAAAAGGAAGACCTTTCTCTCTTTCTCTCTCTCTCACTGTCCACTCTGCCTGTAAAAAACAACAACAACAACAACAAAAAACACCAGCAAAATACATGGGCAAATTTTTATTAACAAATTCTATTTCATTAATAAAATAAAATAAAAATAGAGCCATGTTAACTGACTGCTAACAGTTTCTAAACTGTAATGTCAGTTTCTGTCCTCATCGTTCCCTGGATCTGTAACAACCACAGGTCTGTGGGCCACACTCAGAGATATGGCTCTAGAGGATGTGGCTTATGAATCAGACGAAGGTGTCTGAGCTGTTGAAGGGAAACCCAAGTGCTACAACAGCACACATGGCCCTCGGAGCCCCAAGACAGCTGTTCTGTGGGGGCCTCTGAAACACTAGAGGGTCACAAACAACATTTCTAAGAGCAGCTAGGGGGGACCGCTAAACACCACACAGCAAAGGAGAACCTCAAGGCCACAGGAAGCCAGTCCCAGGCTGCACGCCGCCTTGCACTTGCTCAGCCAGGCACAGCTGCTGCAAAAGTCATCCAAAGCAAACAGGGCGCTCCCCGCAGCAGACTCAACAGAACAAAAACCAACACCCAGAAATAAATGAGATCTCCGAGCTCATCATGTTACACAGCCCACTGTCTTCAAATCCAGGACCCCAAATACAATAACAAAAGATACTCTTAACAAGCGCATGGATCCAAAGCCAAAACTAAATAACTCATTACTATAAACCAACTCGATGCTCAGAATTTTCCAGGTCAGCTACAAGAAAGAGTTATGAGACTGTCTTCCCAATTGAACTAACTCTCACCCGTGTCTAATTGTAGTATGCGAGGCTGAATCCCTTTTTCCTTTCTAGCGCAGCCAGCTTACCTCCTGGAGCATCGGAGTCCCAGGAACTCCTCAAAGCAGGGTGGGCTTGTGGTCTCATTGAAAGGAACATGGAGCTTGGAGCCAGCATGTAAAGGTTTAAGGACCACCTGTAGTTCAGTAATCTCACTAAGTCCCTGAGCTTCAGTTTCCTTATCTAGCAAACAAGACTAATGACAGCCCCTCCCTGGAAATGCCTCTGAAAACTGCGGCCATTTGTAAAACGCTGGATGTGAGTCCTCAGTACCCAGAAATAAGCAGCTGAGTGATGTTTCCGACCACGTGCCCCCCACCCCCCCCATAAAGCTTTGCCTTTCACAGTTTAGTTGTTCTTTGGAGCTCATGTCACTTCCACACACCACACACCATCTTCCTTTTGTTCCCGTCACCAGTGGGATACCCTCAGAGTACGGAACTGGCCTCATCCTGCCCACCTGACAACTTGCAAAAGTGCCTGAGGGATTCACCCCAGGCCCATCACCAGAGACAGAAATGATGTGAAAATGCACAGGGGCACGTGGGTGAGACTCACACGTTTGCTTTATTTCGTGTGTGGCTTTCCTTACCCGGTCCCGCTTGTTTCACCTTCTGCTCTCCCTGGCAGGAAGTCACAGCTCTGCATGGGTTCTGGTCCTTCTGTTTAATGTTTCAGAAAGCTTTTTGCTGTCACTGCATCCCTAGAAAATAAAAGCAGGCCACTTGACAAATTCTGTGTTCTAGCAGTGGCCTTATTAGCACATTCTTTAGATCAGGCAAATGATGCAATCCAGGTCATATGCAGTAGCCTTGGGCAAATCACTCAACTTCTCTGAGCTTATTTCTTCAGTCATAACATAAATACAAGAGCTGCACGCCTTCTTCACATATGTACATGAACACATAAATGGCTACGTAAAGAGATTTATGGAAATAAGTTCAAGTATTTTATTAAACTAAATAATACATAATTATAATATTTATTATTATTCCTACTTTATGGTCCTAGGAAACAAAAGGTGGTAGCCTCTTGCAACCTGCTAAGCAAAATAGCTCTGGATTTTAATTCTTCTACATTAAAAAAAAAAAGATAGAATGTGTGTATCTTAGAAAAAAGAAGGTAAAACCTGTTAATACAATTCAGTGTTGCTACAGAGTGGCTGGGCTTCTGGCGCCTGCTTTATCTATTTGCATTGATTTTGTAATGTTTGCACTGTTGATCAATACCAGTGCAAACAGAATCTTGTAGAATCCTAAGTCTAACACCTTTTGTAGTAAAAGGGAAAGCACTTTGGGAGACCTGGCAATGTATTGTCATCTCTTCCTGGGCAAAATGACAAAATACAGTCCTTGATTTTTAAGAGATATTATTATAAAGTCCCTGAATAAACACATGGTCATTTTTAATTAAAAATGATTAAAAGAGAAACTCCAAATCAAAAATATGTTGCCAATGTTTGCCTTTAATAACATGATTAAATCTCTCAAAAATGAAACTAAAATTTAACCAAATTTAGTCATATTTAGAGGAAATGGCATGACTAGCCACAAGTTTGCTACAAAACATATGGCTTTCTCTGGGTGATGTTTAGACTTTAGTTAAGCCATGCTATAAAGCAACCATGATCTGTGCAAGGTTCCTTGTCTCTCTTCTTCATAAATCTATGTCTAAATGAAAAAATAGAGAGCACTAAAATATGACAGGCACCATTTATGCCAGAAAACATAGTAGTATTGCTTTAGAGCAGTAAATATCTTCAAACTTTCTCTGCCACTTCATTGAGTTCTTATATCTTGGATGTTATGTATGATTGTTGTTACTCAGATAATGGAGATGGTGGCCTTCAGAAATGAGTTCGTTATTACACACAAACCTCTCTCCAAAAAAACAAAGAACTGACAACGCCCTAAGCTGATGTATACACTTCTAAACTTAGGTGTGAAAAAAAAGCTTAACTTTTGAATACTTGTGGTGAAAAAATTAAAACTTGCAAGAACAAAATTCAGTCTTCAGAATCATCTTCCTTGGTCAATAGGATCAGAGTATTTCATCTGGGCTTCTTAAATCTAAATCACTCAAATGATTAGGTTTTCTTCTTTTTTTCTCCTTGTCCTAGTAGCTGGGACTTGTGTGACTACAGAGTGTAAGTATCTAATGTATAGAGCCCATATGTAAACGTTCAATAAATTTCTATGGTTATATTATTATATTGTAGATGAAAATGATTTTCACAATCATCTCTATCCCTCTCTGCTGTATCATAAAATCATTTATCAGCAAAGTTACAAGAACTATTAGCTAAGGTTGTTGTTTTTTAATCTTTGAAAATAGTATAGTGTCTGTCTATTGGAAGAATTACATGAAGCAAAGTGCTTGGATCTTTGTGTGAAATCTTGGAGCTTCCTTTTGTAGGTTCTGATACGGAGATTATTGGAGGCGGAGAAGTGTCCCCTCACTCCAGGCCGTTTATGGCTTCCATTCAGTACGGCGGCATTCACACTTGCGGAGGAGTCCTGATCGCTCCACAGTGGGTGCTGACAGCAGCCCACTGCCACATGCGGTGAGTCCCAACACTTCCCATGCATCTCTCTCTCTCCTTCAGGTCTGCTGGGAGAGAAGTTCCCTTCCCCGGGGGTGAGAATTCCAACAGTTAGTTTTTGTGATTGCTGGTCAACCACCATGTCCACCCTTTTTACCCTAGGTTTTTCTTTTCAGGGAGAACTAGATTTCTTCTCCCAGTAGGCAAATTCAGCCGTTAGACAACGTTCAGTCTCCCATCTAGTGCCAGCGAACATAGTAGCAGTAATAAACGGAGATCATTCCTGATCTTCGGTCATTCTGCGCATGAGGAAATCGACAACCTGGCCTTGCTCTGTGCTCTTCAGCATCTCCATTTTACAAAAGGAGAAAAATTGTAATAAATAGTACAGTCGTTTCCCCCCACCCACAGGTTTTGAGGATGCCTGAAACCACGGATAGTACAGAATCCTATGTATACTATGTCTTTTCCTACGCACGTATACCTATGATTAAGTTTAATTTGTAAGTTAGGCACCGGAAGAGATTGACAACAGTAATTATAAAAATAGAACAGTTATAATAATAAAGTGAAATAACAGTTATTTAAAACTGAGGACTTACTTATTTCTAGAATTTTCTGTTTGATATAGTTAGTCCTTGGTTGACCAGGGGTAACTGAAATCACAGGTAAAGGGTGCAGGTATACCTGCTTCATGTGATTTTGAACATTCAATAATACCTATTTAAGTATTTTGGCACACAGAGCATATTCAGTATTATTATTTCTTTTAATTTAATTTTTTTTGACAGGCAGAGTTAGACAGTGAGAGAGAGAGACAGAGAGAAAGGTCTTCCTTCCGTTGGTTCACCCCTCAAATGGCCGCTACAGCCAGCGCACCGCGCCAATCCGAAGCCAGGAGCCAGGTGCTCCCTCCTGGTCTCCCATGGGGTGCAGGGCCCAAGCACTTGGGCCATCCTCCACTGCACTCCCAGGCCACAGCAGAGAGCTGGCCTGGAAAAGGGGCAAACCGGGACAGAATCCGGCGCCCCGACCGGGGCTAGAACCCGGTGTGCCGGTGCCACAGGTGGAGGAATAGCCTAGTGAGCCGCGGTGCCAGCCAGTATTATTGTTAGTATCTGTGTGTGTGTGTGTGTGTGCGTGTGTGTGTGTGTGTGGTGTTTTGTGGGTCAGTTTCTAGATCCCTTGCCTCCCAATGTCTGAGGCCCACAGTTTGGAAATCACAGCAACAGTATTCCCAGGTGGAAGAAAATAGCTAATAGATTATTTGTAAGAAGAGATAAAGAGAGTTATTTTTCTGGAGTTCCTAGAATGAAAACTTTTCTGAAGACAGAGTCGAACCTTCGAAAGTCCGTTTCAGTCTAGGATTCCCTATCCTCAGTTACGAAAGCCCGCAATCCAACCTGGGATGCTGCAAGCAGCACAAATTGTGCTTGGGGTGTTCAGTTCCCTGTGCTTGTGTTTGCTTCCTTGCTTCTTGCCTGAGCAAGCTGAGACAGAGCCGTCGCCGTCTCTTCTCCTTACACTTCAGAGTCCGTCTTTGTCCCCATGAATGGTTCCCCTGGTATCAGCTGGATCCAGGCAGAATAGCTCAGTTGACTCACTTCACCGTGCTTTGAGAGTTTGTCTAATTGTCCCAATTTAATGAACTCTCTGAATACACACCGGAAATTTGGAAGCCTACAAACAGGCAGAACTTGTGTTTTCTTTGTAAATAGCATGCTGCTGGTTTTCAGTCTCATATGACTATATAAGTGGGGTTCTTGCTCTCACAAAAAGTGCCTTCACAACCCCATCACATCTGTCCCTCTCCCCAGGGAACATGGTCCCTCGGGACCTGTGGGGCAGAGGGTAGCGGACCATAAATGTTCATCCCTTACAAACTGCGCATGTCTTCAAAGATGCTTATGGCCCATATTCAAAGAGACTAGAACTTCCCCCGAATACCGAGCTTGACTTAAAAATGCTCAACAAATGCTGGTGGCAAGAAGGAAATGAATTGGAGGACTGTATTTATTTATGGATTTATTTTTGCTATACCTAAAACACCATGTGCAAAAAAAGTCCTTCACAAACCATAAAATGCTAAAGGAAAATAAATAATATTAACTTGAATTTTAGATTTTGACATGCATATTTAACTCAAGAGAAGTGGGTTCCCAAATTTGGAAAAAGAGACCCAAAAAAAACTGAAGAGAGGTCTTGGAGTTTAAAAAGAAATACAAAAACTATTGCTAAATACCATTTTCAATGGCTGGAGTATAAAGAACTCCAAAATATGTGGATCAAATTTCCTCCACAGGACACTTGGGTGTAAAAATGTAGGCAGATTGGTGTTTGGAAAAATATTAAGCTTTATGAAATTCAAAATATTTAGGAAATAGTTCAATGGTGGCTTCCCACAAATGTACTCCCAAGTGTCCTGTGGGAATAGTTTGCTAACCTCAGGCCTCTCTCTCTCTCTCTCTCTCTCTCTCTCTCTCTCTCTCTGTCTCTTGGTAGAACAGTGAAGTGAGCCAACTCTGGGGGTGCTCCCTTCTCACCACCCACCCGCACTGCTCCTCCTTTAGTACCTGGACCCCTTTATTAGCTACCATGTCAAATATCAAAGGAAACGAGTAAAGTCTCCCTGTGTGAATATAATCTCATTTTCAGCATTTTAACTCACCAGAAGCAAAACTCTCACCAGTTGGTGTCCATGGCCCTCCTAAGTTTCTTCCAATGCCCTCCCTCACTAAGCCTTACTGCCTCTCCCTCCTACCTAGCAAGTTAGTAGATTGAATCTTCCATAGCTCTTTCCATGCAGCCTTACTCCATCTCCAACACGGATAAACACATTCAATGCAAGCAACTAACTTCTGATCCTGCTTGGATTTCCATGTTGGAGCCTCCACTTAATATCGCTGGGGTGTTCTCAAGTATATTAACTTGTCTGCACCTCAATTGGGGATTATCCTAATACCTCCCTCATAGGGCTGTTGGGAGGCTTAAATGAGGAGAAATAGGTAAGACACTTAGAACACAGAGCTAAATAGATGTTAACAAGTTTTATTTATTTTTTTCTTTCTTTCTTTCTTTTGATGCAGAGAGAAAGAGAACTCATATCTGCTAGTTCACTTCCCAAATACCTGGAGGTTGAGAATTCAATCCAGGTCTCCCACGTGGGTGTAGAGATCCACCTACCAGAGCCATCACCTGTTGCCTGCTAGGGTGTGCATCAGCAAGAAGTGAGAATCAGGAGGGTGGACTCCCACCCAGGCACTCTGACATGAAATGCAGGAATCTTAACCACTAGGCCAAAACCCACCCCAAGTATTGTCTGTGTCTATGTGTGCCTTCTGTGATAGGAACTGAGTAACTCAACTAATGAGCCACTTATGTTGATGAGATGGGACTGAGGGAAGCACCCTTTCTGACAGCCAACAGCTTCCATCTCTGGCTTAGACAAGGGAGACCTCCAAGAAACAGGAACCCCACCTTTTGTGATCACACCTCACCGAGTGAATCTAAGCAGAAACAGTGCTTAGGATCCAGGCAGGCAGAGGAAGCAGAAGGGCTTGGCCTGGGGTTTAAAGAGGAATTGAGGGAAAATACTGGGGGTGGAGTCACAAAAGCTGAATTTGGGTTCTGTTTTCCCTGTATATGAGGTGTGTCACCTAGGAGCAGGCAGAAACGCCTTCAACTAGTGAGGAGTGCATGTCCCATCATCTTCAACAAGACAGGTCGTTGGTGGGTACTATTGAGACAATGTTTACAGCCAAGTTCAGCAGATGACCAAAAACTCACTGTCAACAACACTATGATTCTGCTCTAAACATAATTCTGTCCAGGTAAATCCAAGGGGAAACTCAGGAAGTTCCATTATCAATACCACGTCCAGGTGATTCTTTTTTTTTTTTTTGACAGGCAGAGTGGACAGTGAGAGAGAGAGACAGAGAGAAAGGTCTTCCTTTGCCGTTGGTTCACCCTCCAATGGCCGCCGCGGCCAGCGCGCTGCGGCCGGCGCACCGCGCTGATCCGATGGCAGGAGCCAGGAGCCAGGTGCTTTTCCTGGTCTCCCATGGGGTGCAGGGCCCAAGCACCTGGGCCATCCTCCACTGCACTCCCTGGCCACAGCAGAGAGCTGGCCTGGAAGAGGGGCAACTGGGACAGAATCCGGCGCCCCAACCGGGCCTAGAACCCGGTGTGCCGGTGCCGCTAGGCGGAGGATTAGCCTAGTGAGCCGCGGCGCTGGCAGTCCAGGTGATTCTAAAACAGGTCTGAGGACCACACTTGGAGAAATACTGTGTATGCGAATGAAAAACACTGGTATTGTTATGTCTCCTCTGTGTGGAGTCTGGAGCGAGCTTTAACTAAGGAAGCGAAATCCTGGAACTTGGCTAATTCCAGGTATACCACAGACAGAAAGCTTGACCTTGCTAGTTCAGATTACAGTTGAAGGGTATCTGGAAACTGAACGTTTAGAAAGCATTACGAGGGTTGTTTTTGGTATTAGCATGTCCCAGTGGAAATGAAAATAACCAAAACATTTCAAAGGCAATAGCTAGTTAAGGAAATGAGTAAAAGATAAAAGAAAACCAAAAAATGTTCTCAGCACCACTCCCTTCAAGAGAATCCGGGCCCTCCACTCTGCATTTGTACCACACAGCCCTCCTGGTGTGAGTTGTTTATGTACATACCGACTTTTTACTACCATGTTCCTCTTGGGGACATCATCCATCCCCTCCAAAGCCTCGGGGTTAGTGGGTATGTTGGATTTGAACTTGAATCAGTCCCAGGAAATCCAATGCACATCCCCTGAGAAATTGCAGCCCTATTCTGATTTTGCAAGAGGCAACGTTTTCAACAAATAGAGCTGGAATTTCCAAAGTAAACTCTTCTGGCAGAAACCAAGAAGGGGCCGTTCCAGGCAGCCACAGCTCTGCCATACGCAAAGCCACACCACCACAATCATGTGCTCATTCTCCAAGCTTGAAGCAGTCATTGCTTCCTTTTTCTTTATGTTCCTGTGTTCTTTTTCATCTTTATTCATCTTTATTAGTCTGTATATTGGAGTATATGTGTTTTTCTATAATCCACCTGGATTCCCTTTTCAAGAAGCAACCAATAGTTAAATGTAAATAAATAAATACAATTATTTTTATAATCTCTCCTATTCTGAAAAAGAATTTGAAGTGGTTTCCATAAAAATACATATTGCAATGGGATAAATCTGAAGTATACAAACGGTTCCAAAGCATTGTCAGGATCTCCAAAACAGCTTTTCTATTTTCATCATTGACTATAAATGTAATGTTATACAACTTACAGTAAATCAGATTGATTGTCACATTGTTGAAACACTGGTACTAGAACTGTGTACAACTAGAAATTTAAAGACTTGTGTTTCTTTACCTGACTCACTAGTTTGTACTCTCTAAATCACCACTGGAATTATCAATGGCTACTAACCTTGAAATATCGTCATTTCAAAATAGTGGCTTTTTTGCATTTGACCAAAACCTTTCCTTTCTTCTCCAGATTACCTTTCTTATTGAAGGGATAGGACATATGAGCATTTATGACCACCATGAAATGGTCCTTACATCCCCGTATTTTCCTGAAATGAGGTCTAGACATACAGAAAACAAGTTTAGAGTCATAGGTTTACCTTAACTATTGAAATACAATGTTGGGAAGATGCAAAAGTGTTAGTGGTAGATGTGCAATAATATAAAATGTATATTTTTAAATGGTTAAAATGGTAAATTTTATTATATGCATTTTACAACAATGGCAAACATAAGAAATATAATTTCCTTTATTTGGACAAAATATTGTTGTAAACTTTATCTAAGTCAGTTATGACTTCACTGCTTTCTTCCCACAGTAGAGTATAAATTATGTTTTGTTTTGTTTTTCAGTACCAGGGAATTGGTTTGGGAGGGGATTGTAGCCAAGTCATATGGGCCTTGATATTCAATCATGCTGGGGTCCAGTGAGACCTCTATCACTCCACCTAATGCTAAACAGGTTACCTTAGAAGTGGTCTTTCTGTATGTATGTATATGACCCTCTCCACCATCTCCGCTCCCCACTGAGGACTTTGAAAATCATTCTGTTAACCACATTCTCTTTGCTTTTTTAGCTTTACCAAAGGCCAGTCTCCAATGGTGGTTTTAGGAGCACACTCTCTCTCAAAAAATGAACCCTCCAAACAAATATTCGCCATTAAAAAATTCATACCGTTCTCAAGATTTCCATCTGGTCTTCAATCACATGATATTATGCTGGTTAAGGTATGTAGCATTGTCTTCCTTCAATTTCTCCAACATTCTCCTATACCCTGGCTCAATGATTTACATCATCTACACAAAACCATTTCGCAAACACTTTCCCTGTGTTTGAGTTGATTAAGACATGTTCTGTGAAGCCTTGTGTTGCTTCACATACTGCTTTCAAAGAAACAAAAATTCATCACAAATGCATCAGGGCCATGTTCATACAAGAAAATGTGACGATGATGCTCACATACAGAGGAGGAGCCACAGTGAGAACTTCCTTCCCAAGTGCTTTTCTCATTAGCAAGTGAAAAATACAAGAGTCATCCATGCAACAGAGCCAACCAAGTGACTTCAGGGACTCAGAAGTGAGTTACAACTTAGTCTAGACCACACTAAGTGTAGTCCAAACTCAGTCTAGACCGTATTCAAAGAGCAGGAAACAACTCAGCCTTCAAAGTCATGACCTATGGATGTCATTCCACAGAATACCATCCAATACAAGGCAAAGGCCAGTTCGCTTGAGACTGGGCAAAATTCCTGCTCTGTAGATGCTTCCTCCCTGAGCGTCAGAGAGCTCCCCACAGGGAACAGAGAGCATGTTCAGCAGAGCAACAATCACGAATGTAGCTGCAGGCTGCCACCAAAGTAGATCCAGGAAAAAGGGATGCCTTGTTAGGAGAGAGGGACCACACATGCAACATACAGGCTTATAAGCAAACACAAATGGGAAAGGATGATAACCAAGTATTTTTTTTCAATCTGTCAGCTTCAAACAGCCGCGGAACTCAACAAGCATGTCCAGCTGCTCCACCCAAGATCCAAGAATTATATTAGACCTGGAACCAGATGCCAAGTTACTGGCTGGGGAGCCACTGAGCCAGACTTTTCAAGCACCTCTGATACCCTGCAAGAAGTTACTGTTACTGTGATAAGTCGAAAACTGTGCAACAGCCCAAGTTACTACAACCGCAACCCTATTATAACCAACAACATGATTTGTGCAGGAGATGCCAAAGGTCAGAAAGATTCCTGCCAGGTAAGAATTTTTCACTAAACAAGCATCTCAGAGTACTATATTGCAGTCAAGTCTCCATTTTCTCACTAACACTGAGGAAAAGAGACATGGAAAACATGAAAGTACACTTTTTAAAAATCTGTTTTCCATTCCTGCAATTTGATTTTGGGCCTTGAGCAGCACCAAAATGAAATGCACAATTTTTTAAAATTTCTTTTATTTTTGTGGATTATTTCAAACTTTATGTTCACCCATTCCTCACTATATAAAGTTCAATAGTTGGGGCCAGTACTGTGACACAGCAGATTAAATCACCACCTGCAACACAGGCATCCCAAATGACACTAGTTCAAGTCCCAGTTGCTCTACTTCAAGTCCACCTCCTTGCTTAATAGACCTGGAAAGGCAGCAGAAGATGGCCCAGGTACTTGGGCCCCTGCCACGCATGTGGGAGACCCAGATGAAGTTCTTGGCTCCTGGTTTCAACCTGGCCCAACCATGGCCATCGTGGCCATTTAGGAAGTGAGCCAGATGGAAGATCAATCCATCTCTCCCATCCTCTACCCCCATAACTCTGCTTTTCATATAAACAAATATTTTTAAAAAAAAAAAGTTCAATAGCCACTGATTTTCAAAAGAATATCCATATATGTACATAGAGATAGCTAGAGACAGAATATTTAGCCAGTGACAGAGACAAAGGAATTGTTACAGTCATAATCATAGACAGAGATGTGAATATAGACAGATGACAGAAACATGGTCCTAAATAGAGACATAGAAAACCTATACAGAGGTTGTGTGTCAGGCACTCTTCAGGACACAAAGACACCAGGGACTCAGGTAATAATCCTTTGGACAGTCAACAGTGAGGATGGAAAATATCTCAATAGCTTCTCACCATTCTTCTCACCATTCTGTCTCCCCATTTTTTTCCTTCCAGGGTGACTCAGGTGGCCCCTTGATCTGTAAAGGTGTCTTTCACGCCATAGTCTCTGGAGGTCATAAGTGCGGTATTGCCAAAAAGCCTGGAATCTACACCCTGCTGACTAAGAGATACCAGACTTGGATCAAAAGTAACCTTGCCCCATCTCATGAAAATTAAGATTACAAATGATTTTCTGAGATCTACCAGTTACTTCTTTTTTCTATAGTATGCTCACAGGCCACCTTTATCTTCAGCCATAGTTGCATTTAGGTAAGGCAGAATATGGTTGGCATCCATTTCTGTACCCCTGAGACTTATTTTGTTCTTCAAATCAAGTTCTTTGTCACCTCTATCACTGATGTATTTCTATCATGCTGAATAAAATTTAGAAGACTCTCTGTTGGTCTTTTATGGATATGAAGTAATAGCTTCCCCCATTCCACCCACACTCCCCAAAGGGCAACAAGGTGACGAAATGAGACAGCAATGGCACCACCTACAGTCAACATTTATTATGTTGTGGTTTCTGCTGAATCACCCTAAGCTGTTGAGAGTTCTTTAAACTGCTGTAAGAACGTTCAACATGAGAGTTATCCTTTTAACACATTTTCCAATATATTGCATAGTACGATTAACTGTGGGCACAATCACATAGAGGAGGCATCTAGCGTTTACTCATCTTGTATCACTGAAACTGAAACTTTATACCAGTTGAAAAGCAATCCCCCATTTGCCCCACTACCACTTCCTGGCCCCAGGCAAATACCATACTATTCTCCGCATCTACATGTTTGTCTATCCTAAGTTCTATTTTTAAAATAATAAGAAACTCAGGAAAGAATCATTAAGGCTTATACAAACATTTGTATAGGATTTGTCGTTTGTTTATAACACAGTTTTGTTCCAGAAAAAGATTTAAGGCAATATACAAAAATGCCTGCGAAACGATAAAATAAAGAATTAAAAGTAAGTTGGTGAAGGCATCAGAACAAAGGAGAAATAAGAATAAGAAGGAGAAAATAAAGGAAGAAGTAGTCATTGTGCCGTCCATTTTTCCTTACACGTTGTCTAGGACGCTTCATGTTTGGAGAATCTATTCTTCAGCCAATGCAAGATCAGCATAATCACTTACACAAACTGCAGTATATGGGAAATAAAAACAGTTTGCCCAGAAACAGGACCGTTGGTCCTGGAAATAAGACTAGAGAGGACTTGGCTCCATGGTCCTCTTAAGAAGGACAGAGCACCATATTTCCCATAGCCCTGCCAACTGCGTCAGGATCACGTACTATTTCTAATACAGATTACTGATCTCTTGCCCATAAATTAAGATTAAATAAGCTTCAGGTGGGCCTGAACTTGCTCAACAGCCAGTCAGGAAGCCAGGGTTGGCCTAGTGGTGGAGGTGTGCATGTCCCATATCTGGAGTGCCTGGGCTTATTTCCTGGCTCCAGCTCCGGACCCAGTGTCCTGCTAATGCAAACCCCAGAAGGCAGCAATGGTGGCTCAAGCAGTTGGGTTCCTGCCACCAACCTGCAAGACCTGGGTACATTCCCAGCTCCTGACTTCAGCCCAGCCCAGACCTGGCTCTCATGAGCATTTGAAGCGTGAACCAGCAGAAGAGAACTCTCTCTCTCCTCTTTCTCTCTCTCTCTCTTTGTATGTGTGTGTCGGCGGGTGGGTGGGTGTGGGTGTGTCTCTTCACCTCTCAAATAAATGAATGAACTTTTAAAATAAGGTTAAACAATTCAGTTGATTCTGATAAATGGGTAAACGTGAAATCACTGATAATGAACATCCTTTTTTTTTTTTTTAAGATTTATTTATTTATTTGACAGAGTTACACACAGAGAGAAAGAGAGGCAGAGAGAGATCTTCCATCTGCTGGTTCACTCTCCAATTGGCCACAATGGCCGGAGCTGCGCTGATCGGAAGCCAGGAGCCAGGAGCTTCTTCCGGGTCTCCCACACGGGTGTAGGGGCCTAAGGACTTGGACCATCCTCTACTGACTTCCCAGGCCATAGCAAAGAGCTGGATCGGAAGTGGAGCAGCCGGGTCTCAAACCACCCATATGGGATGCCAGCCCTTCAGGCCACGGCGTTAACCCACTTCGACACAGCGCCAGCCCCATGAACATCCTTAGTAACACCTTATAATCAAGATAAGATTCAAGAGATTTTCTAAATAAATTATCAATGTGAACACCTGACTTAGAGCCAAAGTGTAATGCAATAAGATCACTGGTGGACCTCAGCTGTTTTGGACTGAAGTTACCCAGTGACTAAAGTGGTAACCATTGCTATTTTAGGTGCAGGAGCAAAGTGGAGGTGGAGAGATTTCTTCTCCTTCAGCAGTCAGAAGCCAAAAGATTCATTTCAGCCTCCGTACTTAATTTGGATTTTAGAAGACAAATAAAGCTCATTTCCAGATGATATAAAATTATCTTAAATGCATATAGAAATAGATGTTTTTTATTTATTTGTTGTTGTCATAGTTCTTGGAAACCATTAGCCAGGGGCCGGTGCTGTGACACAGTAGTTTAATCCTCCGCCTGTGGCGCTGGCATCCCATATGGGTGCCGGTTCTAGTGCCGGCTGCTCCACTTCCGATCCAGCTCTCCGCTGTGGCCTGGGAAAGCAGTGGAGAATGGTCCAGGTCCTTGGGCTCCTTCACCCACATCGGAGACTGGGAAGAAGTGCCTGGATCCTGGCTTCAGATCGACGCAGCTCCAGCCCTTGCAGCCATTTGGGGAGTGAACCAACGGAAGGAAAACCTTTCTCTCTGTCTCTCCCTCTCACTGTCTGTAACTCTACCTCTCAAAATAAAATAAATAACAATCTTTAAAAAAAAAGAAACCAATAGCCAGTTATACTCTGGGCTATAAATATCTAGATAAATAGGAGCACTGGGTTAAAAAGCAACCAATCTAACAGTAAATGAAACAAGTATCTAAAAATCCCTCCTGGGACTAGCATTTAGCCTAGCAGTTAAGATGTGCACATGCCATATCAGAGTGCCTGGGTCTGACACCTGGCTCTGGCTCCTGATTCCAGCTTCCTCTAATTCAGATCCTAGGAGGCAGTGGTAATGGCTCAAGTGACTGGATACTTGCTGCCCACATGGAGCCCTGGCCTGTGTTCTCAGCTCCCAGCTCTGGCCCAGGTCAGTCCCTACCGTTGTAGCATTTGGAGAGTGAACCAGCAAATGGGAGATAACTCTCCCCCCACCTTTTCCCCTTTCAGTCTAGTCCCCTCTGCCACTAGTAATACTTTTAATTCCATCTGTGCCAATTTAATTCATTTAAAATGTGCTGATTATGAAATCCCATGCCATAAAGAAAAATTATAAATTATCTTGACTCACCATAAAAAAAAAAGAATTCTCCCTATTTGCTCTAAATTTCAGATCCATAAGTCTTCATTGTAAATCTTTAAGTCTTAAGGACTCTTAAGATTGCCCCGATTTCAGTTAATGAGTCTCCTATAAAGTTGCCAGTAAAACCTGAGAGTGATGTTTTGATTTTAGACTCCATGTTGTTCAACTCCAATAGTCAAACCAGACCAGACTGCCAGAGAGGAAACTTCTTTCAACAGCTATGGCAGACCTGGCAACTCTGAAATTGGAGGATAAACAGTTTGACAAGCAACTGATGATAGAGCCCACAATTGAAATGCCTCCCTCATCTTTTCAGTATTTTGCTCAATACACAAACAACTCCCAAAGATAGTCTTAATTTGGTAGGTTCTGCCTTTTCAAGCTTATTTTGATTCCATCTATGTGTCAAAAGGAAGTTAAGAGTCAAACTGAGGCAAACACACGGATCTTAAAACTGCTCAAGAGCTTAAGGGGATAATAACTTGCTTTTGCCACTCTGAATCATCTCACTTTCTCCCTCCTTTGTGGCTGTGGAAACAATGCGTTTGCCTTTCCCCAGATATTAATGTGGCTTCATTTATTCTATGTCCACCAAGTTTTAAAAGAAAGTGACAGCACTAAGAACAATCAGGTCCAAATACAACACATAGCATAAATCAATATGGATACAGATAAGCAATTAAACCAGTCTACAACCAGGTAGCAGAATTACTCCTACCTGCTGCCTCTCCTAGTTTTTGCACATAATAAAATCCCCACTCACTCCAAAATGCTATGAAGAAGAGTAGTGGTTCTAGCTTGATTGTTTCAGAAAACTGTCGGGAAGACAGCTCTGGGTCAATCAAGAAAGCTCTTCCTCTTTGACAAAGCTCTCATTTGGGGAAAGAACACTGCTGTGGAATGAATTGTGTCTGCAAATTCACATGTGAAAGACTGAACTCTGAGTGTGAATATATGTGAGGATGGGGCCTACAGGGAAGTAATTAAGGTTAAACAAGTCAGAAGGGAAGGGGTCCTAAACTAATAGATCAATATCCTTACCAGAGGGGACTCCAGAGATCTCAGCTTTCTCTCTCTCTCTCTCTCTCTCTCTCTCTGTGTGTGTCTCTCTCTCTCTCTCTCTCTCTCTTCTTTCTCTCTCTCTCTCTCTCATGTGTGAGGACACAGTGAAGAAGAGGCCAACTACAAGCCAGAAAGAGGGCCCTCCCCAGAAAATGAATTGGCTGCCACCTTGAACTTGGACTTCCCAGCCACAAGAACTGTCAGAAACCAATTTCCAGTCTTTGAGCCAGCCACTCTGCAGTATGATGTTACAGTGGCCCAAGCTAACTCAGACAGACACACATGATGGGGGAGAAAGAACACTGCTCAACCTGCCCGAGGACGATATACCTGGGTTGCCTCAAAACGCATGCAGTTTCACAAGATGTCTGAGACACACCTGAAAAGCTACCTGCATATTTTCTGATGAGTTATTTGAGCACCATGGGCACCCTGGCTGAACACGTGGGCTCCTTGTGCCTTGAGTGATTCAGCCCTGCATTCACACATCCATTTCCTGTTGACAGCACAGGACTGATTGATTTCTTGGGCCTTTTTGCTGAGTCATATCAGTCAGCTCTAGAATGGCAAACGCTTGTCTACACCTCTTATGCTCTGCCAGGAAAATGTTACATTCATTTTCTGGCTTTAACCATAAATATCTGTGCAACTGCCTATTAGAGTCAGTATATAGGATTGACACTGTGGTTTCTCCTGGGAACTTAAAGCTAACTAAAATAAAATTGCCCTCTGAGAGTTAACACTTAAATTCCATATATAGTGGTCAGAACAGAGTCACTCTGGAGGGATGTGGAGGTTGCCAAACCCCCAGCCCTAGCTGCAATCTGCTGATGGGTTATCAGATCTCAAGCTGGAGAGTTCCACTGGAGGAGAAGAGGACAACCAGGGGTCCAGGAGAAAGGAGTCAGCACAAGCCATAGGCCATGGCTGCCTTCTTGTCCCCAGGCAAAGCCATCCTTACTGAGCCTGATTCCGTCACACACGCAGCTGACTTACTGGTCTCTTTCTGACTTCATGCTCCCCAGGCACACGTCAGGGAGCATTTTACT